GGGATAGGTTGGAAATGGAAAGACTTTAATTCCATGTTAAAAGATCATTTTAGAACTTTACCAAATATAAAAAAGCAACATCATTTTCGCTTTAGCAGTTTGCCAAATAATATTGGAATAGTTTATTTTTCAAAAAAATCTGGTGAAGAATATTCTTATAATCTTTTGAAGAATACAAATTTTGATAAAGATACACACCCCTACAAAAAGTATTGACTCACTTGATGATCTGCCAAAATAATCAAATAAACGAGTAATACAAATACTCGTTTTTTTACTAAGCAAATCGATGTTGTGTATTAATAAGAAAATGTTTGTTGAAATGATTATCATAACAATCTAAAAAATCACATTGGGCCGATTGTTATTGATAATTCTATGATGTTTTAAAGTCAAATTAAAATTTTTCAAAAATTTTTTGAAAAAGTAGCACTTAGAGCTATTTTAAGATACGATGTTTTAACACATCTTGGGAACTTAGAAAATGTTGTTTCGTTTATTTTCAAATATATATATATACACGTTCATAATTATTGATCGAATATTCATGGAGCATTAATACAAAACGTAAAAATAACAAAAAATTTTTCATCAACAGTTTGTATAATATTTTTACATAATAAATCTTTATTAAATTTATATCAAAAGTATCAAAAAAGTATAAATATTTCATTCATTTATTCAATATTTTGTTGGGTTTCCTTTTGATTCAATTACAGCTTGGACCCTTCAAGGAATGCTGTCTACTAATTTTTGCAAATAATCATTTTTTTTTAAGCAAACCGATGCTGTGTATTAGTAAGAAAATGTTTGTTGAAATGATTATCATAATAATCTAAAATATCACATTGGGCCGATTGTTGTTGATAATTCTATGATGTTTAAAAGTCAAATTAAAATTTTTCGAAAATTTTTTGAAAAAGTAGCACTTAGAGCTATTTTAAGATACGATGTTTTAACACATCTTGGGAACTTAGAAAATGTTGCTCCGTTTAGTCTCAAATATATATATATACATGTTCATAATTATTGATCGAATATTCATGGAGCATTAATACAAAACGTAAAAATAACAAAAAAAATTTTCATCAACAGTTTGTATAATATTTTTACATAATAAATCTTTATTAAATTTATATCAAAAGTATCAAAAAAGTATAAATATTTCATTCATTTATTCAATATTTTGTTGGGTTTCCTTTTGATTCAATTACAGCTTGGACCCTTCAAGGAATGCTGTCTACTAATTTTTGTAAATAATCATGATCAAGATTTACCCATTCATCCATTAAATAAGAAATTAATTCATTTGTATTTTTTTGGGGAGCAATAGTAGTTTGATCTTAAATGCTTTTATTGCATGAGTTACTTGTGACCGAGAATGATTGAGAGCACCAGCAATGTTGCAAACACTTTCATCTGCTTCCCAATATCCAATTATTCAAAGTCTGTTAATTGAGACATGATGTTTTAATTGAAATAACAAATTGAAAGTTCAATCTTTTTTTTTTTAAAAAAATCTAGTTTTGGTTAGATATTTCAGCCGTAATTGCCCTTTAAAGTTTGTTCACGCATAATGGTAATTGTCTTGCATAAAAAATTTATTACGATTTTTTTTACGTTTTGTATTAATGCACCATGAATATTCGATCAATAATTATGAACATGTATATATATATATTTGAGAATAAACGGAGCAACATTTTATAAGTTCCCAAGATGTGTTAAAACATCGTATCTTAAAATAGCTCTAAGTGCTACTTTTTCAAAAAAGTTTCGAAAAATTTTAATTTGACTTTAAACATCATATAATTATCAATAACAATCGGACCAATGTGATATTTTAGATTATTATGGTACTCATTTCAAAAAACATTTTCTTACTAATACACAACATCGATTTGCTTAGTAAAAAACGAGTATTTGTATTACCCGTTTATTCGATTATTTTGACGGATCATCAAGTGAGTCGATACTTTTTGTAGGGGTGTGTACATACCCTTTAATAATTTATTATTGATGTTGAATTTCTATTACTGGCAAAAAAAATAAATTTAACAATAGTTAAACGTGTACAGTTTAATCAAAGATTTGACCTTTACTCGAATATAAACCTTATTCGAACAGAAACTCTAATACATGTTCTATATAAAAAAGGTTTCGACCAGGGATTTTAAATTCGACAAAGGGTTTCAGATTTCGACAGAGGGTTTCGAATTTGACCACATGTATAACGTATATACGTCACCCTTGGCCTCCCAAAAAAAATATATATATATCTTATTTCTAGCAATATTGAACAAAAAAGTGTTCGAGTCATGTGATTTTATAAGTGGCCGCGCGGCGCAGCATTATCACAAAAACACATGCGCCAATTTTCGTCGTACATTAATTCAAAAATGTCAACTTTTCATTCAATTTTTACATCAACGTCAGAGTCAACATCACCAGCTATCATTATACCACAAAATGGCTTGATAATTTCCTACTCGGCACTGTTACATCTTATTGACACTTTCCAAAATCAATTATTACAACAACAACTTAAAAAACAAGATGTTGTCTCGATTGTTTTACCTAATTCATTAGAATTTACTGTTTCATTTCTTGGCGTTGCCTTGCAAAGTAATATCGCAGCACCATTAAATCCTGCTTATTCAGAAGACGAGTTTAAATTTTATCTAAAAGATTCAAATAGTAAGGTTGTAATTGTGCCAAAAGGTTGGCTTAATAATGATGGTGGTAATAATAATAATGCAGCTATTAAAGCTGCAAAAGCATTAGGTGTTGGCATTGTGGAAATTTCATGGGATCACCAAAATCAAACTATTAAATTGGATTCTGAAAATAATAGTAATAGTAACAATCAATCAAATAAAATAATTATTAAAGCTGATCAGTCTGATGTAGCTCTTTTGTTACACACTTCTGGAACTACAGGAAGACCAAAAGGTGAAGATTCATTTTTTGTTAAGTAAAAAAGTAATTGAAAAATTATATTATAATTTATAATTTAATCTGCCTATCTACATTAACATAATTTATATTACAAACTAATTAATTAATCAATACAGGTGTACCACTTACACATTTAAATATTACCACTACAATGAAAAATATCATAAAAACATATAAACTACAATCAAGTGATAGTTCATACTTGGTAATGCCACTTTTTCATGTTCATGGATTAATTGGTGGAATGTTGTCAACATTGTTGTCTGGAGGAACAGCGGTAATTCCATTAAGATTCTCTGCTTCTCATTTTTGGAATGATTTTTTGAAGTACGGATGTACTTGGTATACTGCAGGTATATTATATAAAAAAGAGAATACGGTCAAACCTTGTCACAGCGGACTATAATCAAATTCTTGTCATGACAGATTTTTAAAATTTTGCTTTACATATAAAATCCATGGTGGCAAGATTAGTGATTTTATCATAATGTATTTTAAATGTAATTTTTTTATGTGTCCCATTCATCTGCTGTGACAAGGTTTATTTATATTTGTTTATACATGTATTAATATATATTTTCCAAATATACAAAACTCACAATTACAGTTCCTACAATTCATCAAATATTATTAAAACATCCACCACCACCTAATGGCACACCTAAATTAAAATTTATTAGATCATGTTCTTCCTCACTAGCTCCATCAACCCTCCACCAACTAGAAAAGGCTTTTAAAGCACCAGTTCTTGAAGCATATGCCATGACTGAGGCAGCACACCAAATGACTTCTAACCCTTTACCACCCTTGCCACATAAACCAGGTTCGGTAGGATTTGGTCAAGGTGTCCAAATCTCAATTCTAGATCAAGATGGTAATACTACTGTCAAGGAGGAGGTGGAGGGTGAAGTGTGTATCAAAGGATTAAATGTTACAGCTGGTTACCTTAACAATCCATCAGCTAATGCCTCTTCATATACAAAAGATGGATGGTTTAGAACAGGGGATCAAGGAAAACTTGATAAAGATGGGTACTTATTTTTAACTGGTCGTATAAAAGAATTGATTAATCGTGGCGGAGAAAAAATATCGCCGTTGGAAATAGATTCAGTTCTTTTGTCACATCAAGGAATTTCCGAGGCAGTTTCATTTGCTGTTCCTGATCAACTTTACGGACAAGAAGTTCATGCAGCTGTTGTGTTGAAAGAAGGAGGTGATAAAAGTTTAAGTGAGAAAGAGATTCAATATTATTGTCAGGAAAAACTTGCCAAATTTAAAGTACCTAAAAAAATATATTTTACTAAAGTTATGCCAAAAACTGCTACTGGCAAAATACAAAGAAAAAATATTTGTGAAAAATTTTTTAAATCTCCGGAAACTAAATCGGTACTTTAACAAAAGTAATTTATTTATTAATGATGATATTTTTTTATATGTATGTATATGTATTTTGTCTGTACTCCTATTCTCGCTCATTTCTATCACTCTCTTATTCCTCTCTATTTTTTTAAATCTTCTTCTACTACCCAATTCTCATTTTCATTATCATCATCATCAATAGTATCATTATAGTTATTTATAAAAAAAATTTTTTTAAATGCTGCAAGAAGACCTTTATCTTTAAATTCTTTTTCACGTTTTTTTAATCTTTGACGATGTGGTTCTGAATTTTTTGGATCTTGGTAAAAATTAAAATGTTATTTATTAAAAATAACTTGGTAAATTTTGTATCTTGAATATATGTATAAATAATAATTACTTGGGCATATTTGATATAAACTTGCATCTGTTGGAAATGGTGACCTTAAATCTCTATATTTTAATTTGATTTCTACAGTACTAGCATTCGCATAAAAATATTGATTGGTATAATAATTAATTATTAAATTCAAGATAATTGATAATATTATTAACACACAAACCTACCTTTCTTCTAAAGAAACGTAAATTTCTATTAAACTATAAGAAGTGTCAGCTTTTAAATTAATAAAACTTTGAGCTTGTAATCGTTTCACTTCTTCACGTTTTATCACATATGCTTGCAAAAAATCATCAACTGTATCTACAAATTTCTATTATATGCACTTAGGAAATCAAAAAATAATTCAAATTTAATGATACAAATAAAAATTAAAACCGATCCCTACATTTAAATCTTTATCAAGGTATCTTAATTTTAATTCTATCAATGGAATAAAGTCAGGTAATGTATGATTTCGAATAGTAAAAGTTATAGCTTTATTTATTTTTACTTTATCCAAACTAATATAATAATTTTCCATAAACTTTGCTGTTAAAAAAATTAAATTTTTAATATTTTGCAAAAAAAATAAATAAATTTTGTTTCTTCCCCAATCGCTCTTAATAAAACATACCTTGATAAAATGTGCGAAATTTTAATTCAATACAATTGTTATTTTCTTCTGTTTGAGAAATTAATTTACCAATAAAATCATATGCTTTTAATATTTCATCAAAATTGATTGGTCGAGTAAAGATATCTTGATAGCGGCTTTCTCGATTATTAACCTTTTGAATAGTCATTTCTTGATGATAGTTGTTCTCTTGATCATTAATCTCCTGATTAACTACTTGATCACTAGTGTTGCCAATAATATTGTGATTATTCTCCTCCACATTCTCCATTTCCTCATCATTAATGCCATTATTATTAATATTAACGTTTTTACGATTGTTATTAGTATTAGTCACTTTATTATTTGCTTTACTATTGCTACTGCCTTCCCTGACATCTTGAATAATAATAGGTACTTCTTCTTCTTCCTCCTCCTCTTCCTCAGCTGCTTCTTCTAATTTAGACTTTTTACTATTACGTGAAACTGGTAATGTTTTTGATTTATTACCTTGAACTCTAAAAATTGTTTATAAAATGAAAAATCATTACTGCACAATTGAAATGAATATTTTTTTTAACATAACAAATAAACATACGTTGTTTCATCTGTTTCTTTTCTTTTTCTAGTCATGTTTTTCATCAAATTTGTTATAAACACGTAAAAAAATTTATTTTTAAAACAATTTTGTTATCATGATTAAAAAAAATCAAAACAATAATATATATATAGTAACATTTATTAATATGGGGGGGGGCTTTTTCCAGTAAAACAACCTCCGAGGTCATATGACCAAATTTGGTTTTTTTACTATTACTATACACTAAATTGGTGAAAATATCCGACCATGTTTTGCTTAATATTAATAATAATAACAATAAGTTCAATCCCAAATCATTGTAATATCTGAGGATGAAGGGACAATATATTTTGAAGCAATAGATTAGACTAGAAACATTAAAATTACGTAATTATTTTGCAATAAAAACATAATTCCCACATAAAAAAGCTTTTTTTTAAAAAAATGGGTATTATTAAATGCTTGAAGGAATTTTTGCAGTCTTCAGGTACAACTGCCTTTACTTCTAAAGACCTATCCAAATTGTAAGTTTAAAGTCCAAATTTTTTTTAAAAAAAAAATTTGATATTAAATTACTTTTCTTTGCACGGAATAGTTATAAATACACAGCGGTTGGTTTTTAAAGTTGGCACAATTAGGACAAAGTTTATCCACAGAATATATTAATATGAAAAACTAAGACTATCAAATTTAACAAATATTTTTACTCGGCACCGATGTAGCTCCAACCAATCAATACGGATACCGGAGTAACTCCAACAAACAGTTAATACCGGAATAGCTCCATAATAACCAAAGTTAATACTGATAGTGGAATGGTTACTTTGAAAATGATGTCAACGATTTCTATGACTATTTTAATAACGATGATAAGATGGCGATGACAGCAATGATGACAATAATAACATCAATGATAATGATATGGAAGTTGAAGTTGGATTTTAGGTCCCGAGTTATGCTGACAAGTATACAATCCCACAAAGGGAACTTGAGCAACAGCTTAAAGGAATTCGTTTATACTGACTGTGGAGACATTGCTGGAGATAGGAATTGTTTATTCGGGAATTCTTTTTATTTTTATTACTGATGACGAATAACGATTGTTTATTGTTGTTTGTTTAGATCTCTTTCTGATCAATTCTATGGGCATACTTGAAGTTTCATTCAAAAATAAGAAGAGAAATTTGTGTATATTTGGAGGAAAAATGAGAACACTTTCAAATGTTTGTAGAAGATGACAATACTTTTGATTATCATTTATCACAAGTGAAAAAGGATGGTACATATGGCGGGAATACGGAATTGGTTGCATTTGCTCAACTAAATTAATTTAAACACAATTTTTGTGATCAGTGGAAATGAATCAAAAAATATAGAAGATTCTACTTGAATAAAAACATTACATATAACGTAGCTTATTTGAAATTTTTACCTTCAAAAAAAAATTTTTGATGAAATTAAAATAATTTTCCTGGAGGTGTATAATATGATAAAATTATTGTTGGACAGTTAATTTTTTTGTTAGATAGAAAAGAAAATTTCTTTAATTATTACACTTGGTGAAATTTAGATTTTTAATTGTATGTTTATTGGCTACCACAATTGGAAACATTATAGTTCGGTGAGAAAAATTGACGAACCATTTGAAGGTGATCCAGAAATAACAATAGAGGCAATATTTCATTATAATTAATTAATAATAATTAATTGGTTAATAATAGTAACAATAATATATATACATATATTATTAGCCAATAAATTCATCACCAACAAGTAGTCCACCAGATTTACTTCAAAATTCAATTGAAAAGGTGATTATGAATTTAACCGGTGTAAATAATTTAATAAAGATTCGAGCATTAATGGAAAAGTTAAGTAATGATCAAGATAAAGTTATTAATAAATCATTCGAAAAAAAACAACAAAAGGAAACTGAAGGTAGAAATGACGAAACTAATAATTTTTTTATGATGGTTAAATGAAGATAATTAATACTAACCCCAAAGATTATTTGCAAAATGACGAAGAATTAAATTCCAAAGCTAACGTTTCAAGTGATGATAAAATTGAGAAAAAAAGAAGAACAGAAGGATGGTGAAGAGGGCAAGGATAAGGATGATGTGAACGATATAGTGAATAATATGGCGAGCGATGTGGTGAGTGATGTGGTGAAGGGTGTGATGGATGTGATGAAAAATGATGAGGCAAATGATGAAAAGGAGAAAGGTGTGGTGAAAAATGATGAGATGGAGATGATGAGATTGAAAAGGATAGAATTGAAAACAAAATGAAAATAGAATCGTCACCTGAAAGGAATCATAAGTCACCACAAAAAAAAAATCTGACAAAACTTCAATAGATTATTATTTGAATTCTGAAAGAGATGGAAATCGAATGAAGAAAACAAAGAAATCTTTTACAATCCTCAACCAAGGTTAAGGAAGGAAAAACATCATGAATAGAGATCCTTAACAACAAATTCTTCAATAAGATAAAAACAAAAATAAAAGATTTCATTATCAAAATTCTAGTCTAATAACTAGTAATAATGATAACAATAGCAACATGACAATGACCCAATTATATATAATTATATTATATTTTCTTTTTTAAAAATTCAGTTTTGCTTGTTAAAAATTATTTAAGTTTATTAAGAATATTGGTTTCTCAACATAAATTCTACAATAAATTAATTAATTTACAAAGTTTGCTTAAAGTTCTATACATGAAAAATAAATTTTTATCTAAAAAAGATAACTTTCTTTTTTGAAGTTATAAAAAAGTTCACTTTTAAATTATTTATTTATATTTATAAAATAATACATTAAAATAAGAAACAACGTATATAAAACTAAAGAAAAAGGTTGAGTGAGAAAAAACACCCTCCATGAAAATTTTTTTCTATAAAAAAAACTTTGTAAATGTGTATATGTACACATAAAAAACAATCAACTGAACACCAACCAACCATTACGATCCTCTGAATGAATTAGTATTATTCAAGCAGATTTTGACAAGGCATTGCTAATACAAGAAAGATCACTTGCCAAATATGTACTACATGGAAGAAGACTTTTATCACTTTCTTCAACTGGCTCAGTCTTTACAATACTTTTCATTGCTGTCATCAAATTTTCTATTGTTTCTTTGATATCTTCAAATGATGCCTCCTTATCGTAATCTTTAGGTGGGTTATTGTATTCAAAGTCCATATTATCACTATTGTTAATTTCAAACATTCTTTTTTTATTTGAATTGTCAGTTGAGTCAGAAGATTGACCTTCTTGTTGTCCACTTTCAAGTTTATGTTTCCTGTTACTAACATTAGCGTTATCAGTAGAATGCTTTGGAGTTGGAAGAGTCAGTGATATGGTTTTCTTGGATATAGAGGGCATGGCTTGGCTTTGAACATTGGTAGCAAAAAAATTATTCGATCCTTCATTGTTTCCTTTTCTTTCAGCTTCAACAAATACAAAGTATTTGCTAAATTGTATCAACAACTCATCTACTTGTTTCAATGAAAGCAAATATTTGCCAGGTAACGCTTTTAATTGGTCATCGATCATGTATTTCATGGTTAGAAGCTTTTCTGTGCTTGAATGAGATTTAGTATAGTGGTAAAAGTAAGGAAGTACTTCGTCAACTTTATTGAACATTGGTTTTAATAAATCCAATTTTTCACGAACTTTTTTTTTTTCATCATCAGTAAGGTTAGTAATTTCACGGTATTGTATTCTTTTTTCACGAGCCTTGACATCAAGATCTTTAATGGCATCAAGAGCAATTCTAGATTCTTCTGGTTTAATGATCTCAAGTTGGTTTTCATTTGATGAATTATTATTCTTGCTGTTTTTGTTATTATTATTTAAATTTGTTGCTGATGATAATGATGGTGACGATGATGCTGATTGGTTATGGCTTAATTGTTTGAGGTTTGCTTGAGATATGGCAACATTGGTGATATTATTGCTATTATTTATTAATGGCTGTTGAAGTTGCTGAACAATTCTTTGGTTGATTTGTCTTTGCAATTGTGTAATTAAAACTGAACCAGGATTTAATTGAAGATTTAATTGAGGATTATTTTGTTGATTACGGACAATAGCATTGTTATTGGTAACATCAGATGTATTTACAGAGTTCATGGTATTTTGATTGTTATTATTATTAATATTATTTGGAGCATGTATAACATTAGACATTTGTCTTTGTATCTTCTGCTGCTGCTGCTGCTGTTGAATTATTTGAGCTTTTAGAAATTGACTTGCATTTAATATTTGATGAGACATAGCATTATTTGTTGCTGTTGATGGTTGTGTAGTATTGATATTGATATTGATAGGACGATTTAGAGATTGTGGATGAACCATATTTGCAATAATTTTTTGATTAAACAACTGTTGTTGTTGTTGCGAAATAATAGATTGAGCCGAAAATTGAGCCGATGTAGGTATGATTTTTTGATTGTTAGCTATTGATTTAGAATTAGAATCTGACTCAGTATTATCAGGTACTTTTAATCTTTTGAGTATTTCTTTTAAGTCTATACCGACACCATTATTACCATTTCCAGTATTTGTAGCAGCATTATTTTTTTGACCAGAAGAACCAGCAGCAGCATTATTTACCATTTCTTGAATATCTTCTTTCTGTTTAATTAATGCTTCTATTTTAACATATTCCTCTGGTGAACTGTTATTTTTAGATTTATTATACTGCTGTTGATTTGTTAGTTGTTGTTGTTGTTGTTTAATATTGGGAGATTGGTGAACTAGTTGAGGATGAACATTTGGTTGTGGTGAAGAATGTCCTAGTTGAGGAGGAGGACGAATAGGTAATTGTTCAGCAGCAGTAATTTGTGATCTTGGTATAGAAGCCTGTTGCAATAGAGAATTTTGTTGTCGTTGTTGTTGAATTTTTACAAATTGCTGATATTGAAGTAATTGTTGTTGATTAATTTGTGGACGACGAGCTTGATTAGAAGATCCTAATGGCACTTGCTGAGTTTGTTGTAAGAATTGGTTAAATGCTTGTTGTTGTTTAAATGCTTGTTGAAGTTGAACAGTTTGTTGTTCAAGAGTCGGTTGTGATTGGAGTTGAGCAGCAGCTAAAATTTTTTGTTGTTGTTGTAAATATTGGACAGCGAGTATATTTTGCTGCTGTGACGAAAGTTGTAATTGTGGATTTTGTTGCTGTTGTTGCTGCTGTTGCTGTTGCTGTTGCTGTTGCTGCTGCTGCTGCTGCTGCTGCTGTTGCTGTTGCTGTTGCTGTTGTTGCTGTTGTTGCTGTTGCTGCTGCTGCTGCTGCTGTCGTTGTTGCTGTTGCTGCTGCTGCTGCTGCTGTCGTTGTTGCTGTTGTTGGTGTTGTTGTAAAATTTGTTGTTGTAAAAACAATTGTTGTTGGTGTTGTAGTACTTGCATAGGAGTAGCTTGATTTTGTTGTTGTTGAACGGATGTAGAATTTTGTTGTCGTAATTGTTGTAATTGCTGAATATTTTTTGTGAAAACTTTCAATTTCTCAGCAATTACTTGGTCGTATTCTTCTTTAGAAGAAGCTTTATCAAAAGCCTCAATTTCCCATTTCTTGACTGCTAAACGTTGAGAATCATTTATTTGATTATGATTAAAAATTTCCATGGCCCTAAAGAAACGTACAACATTTTGTTTACGCTCTTCCTCTGTCAAAGAATATCGCCATTCATTATTGTTGTTATTGTTATTATTGATGTTTGACATTCTTTTATATTAATTTCGAGATTAAATACCGAGTGTTAGACATTAACATGGGCGGAAATAATGTGAGAGAAAACAATTTCCAAAAAAAGAAATCCCAATATTTTACTTTTTAAAAAAAAAAAATTTAAATATGACTCTGTAATAATGGCGGCATATAAAAGGATGAATTTACCATTTATTCAATTCTCATAGAAATAATTCATGAATTTAGTCAAACACTATTGTTTGTATGCTTGGCTGCTATAATTTTTTTTATGACATCTTTCAACCAAAGGCATGCCCCAGACATGTTTTTAATATGCCTGCTGTAACCATAAAAATTATCCAATTTGTCAAAGACTCAAACTTTGTTTAAATGGTGGTAAAAGTGGCGAAATATAATTGACTGCCAAATGCAAAATAATTAATCATGGATGCAACTACAAAGACTTGTACAAGATAACCCAAAGGTGTGCTCACAAAAAATGCAAATCGGTGAAGGATTTTTGTTCATCTTTCACATCAAGTGAGTTCTGACCAGATACAAGATTCCACCCTTCTGCGGTGAATTCTCTTCAATCAATAGCTGAATGTTATAAAGCTGAACATGTTTGGCGGAGTACAATAAGATAAATTTTGAAAATGGAAGATGGCCGTCATTGTCTTGACAATTGAGAGATGTTAAAAATTCAAAAGCACGATAAATGATTGATTCTAATAAATAAAACGTTTTTCCATTTAAAAAATTTTTGGAGCAATTAACGTTAACATTAACACATTAAATATTAAGTTAATAATGCTCTATATACATAATGTATAATACTTGAAATTTCGAAAATGCTTTTTTTTAAACAAAAAACTAAATTAATGTTTTTTCTTACTACTATTACGTTAAAATTAAATAATAAATAAAGAGTTCAAATTAATTAATTAGATTATTTTTTGTGATTGAATTTTTTGTTCAGCTTTAGAAAAAATTGATAAAATAAAATTTTGTTTTTCTTGATTTAAATCTTTAGCAATTAAATTATATGAATCTGGATTATTGTGCTGGATATCTATTTGAAGTTTATAAATAATATTTTATTAGTAATTTATTATTATTATTATTATTATTATCATTATTATTATTATTATAAACTAGGAAATAATTTATTTACAACTTACCAATGAATGTTTGACGAAATTTTACATAAACATCAATTTTATCCAATGGCGATTCCAACAGTACTTCCTCGTCAAATCTTTCATCATAATCATACCCATCTTCAGCCTCTGAATTTGAATGCTTTTCGGTATAAAAAAAATTCAATTTAACTTATTAATTAATTAAGCTAAAAATTATATTTAAAGATAAAATTTTTTATTACCTCTTTAGCTAAAAGTTCTAAATATTTCACATCTTCGTTTTTCACATCTTCATCTAAATTAATATAGTATATTATATAATAATATTAGCGTGAATAATAATAATGATAAATAAACAAATAATCATAATTAACGTTGCTACCATCAGCATTTTCTTCAGATTCATCATCTTCGTCATCATCATCTGTTTCATCAACAATTTTATTTTCACAACTCCCAGCATCAATATAAGTTTTAATATCACTTCTCACTATTATTTTTAAAAAAAGAATTTAACAATTAACCAAGCCAAAAGCACGCATGCGCACACACATAAAAAAAAAAACAAATAGTAATGATGGTAGTAATAATAGTAACAAACCGATTACTTACATTCTTCTGCTTTAGGTAATGATTTAAAAATATTTAATATTCCATCAAATAAATTTGAACAATTGCTTTGTAATGCCAAAGGTAATTTATTTAATGGTATTTCTAATAAGTCACATAAAGTCAATATAACTAATTTTTTATCATGCACCCTTTTAAATTGATTTATATTTTCAAACCATAAATTAAAAAATGGTTGAGTAAAATTTTTTTTTTCAAGTAAATCTAAAATAATCAAAGGATTATAATAAATACAATTTACAATCTGGAATGAATATAAATATATATGTTATTAGTTTATAATAATTAATCATAATATGTGCCGAAATTTTTTGTTGAAGATTTGAAAACGTGAAGATATTACCTATAAAGAAAATAATGTTACCTTTTTTGGAAAACATTTCAAATCTCCGACAAAAATTTCAGCACATACCGAATTTTTTATTAATAATTATAAAATAACGTACTTACCGTTTCAATACAATGGAATTTAAATGATTTGGTAGTAATGTTTTGAATGTTTGATAGATAACCAAATGTCAAATGAAATATATTAACAACATACTAAAATATTAATAAAAATAATTAACATATAATGATATAACAATAAAAAAAATTTTTTTTTTAATAAAAATATTAAAAATATTTACCTGATCTATATGACCTTTACAATTTAATATGAATACTTCTGCTAATTTACAACCACAAATCTTATCACTCTCAGCCATCGTATCAGTGTTAAATATCTAAACATGTTACATATTAGTATTAATGCATTATAATGATGATTTTCAAAATTCTCGTCTATTACTTACAGTTTCAATCATATCATAAAATATCATTTGTAAATCTTTATTTTGTATGAAAACATCTCTACCGTATAACACATAATTATCTAATGATGGAAGCATTTCTAAAAAAAAATTTTATAAATAAATAATTAATTTCTAACTATAAATTTTTAACTATAAATCACTTGATAATAGTAATTCACCTTCAATATAATCAATTCCATCAAGTTTGAATGTCTTATAAATCAAGTTAAATAAATTCCACATCGTATTTGAAATTGTTTTTGTAGAAAATGTGCAACTATCAATTATATCAAAAATATCACTATATAAATCTAAAGTACATAGATATTTGTTGTTAATAACAATACAGGATCACATAATTTATTATACAGCTTGAGAAATTTTTTTTTACCTATTATATTATTTTCCAAAGTGAATGAAATAATTGGCAACAAAACATTTTCTAATTGATGTAATAAATCAGTTGATGATTCCAAACTTAAAATTAAAGTTATGACCGTTTTTAAGACACCTGACGCTATAATTGTCTTGTCACTTATATCATAACTATCAACAAAATCATCAACATCACAATTATTATCTATTTCTGCAGCCTCTGATTCTTGATACTCTTGCATGATACGAAGAAAAGTATTGCACTGATAATTAATATATAATTATATATTATATAACTATAAATATATATAATTGTTATTCTTATTAAGATATTAATAAATTTAATTTAATTACCAATTGTTGGCATAATTGAACTGCAAATGGGGCCAATTCATTTGAATATTCCTCAACCAAATCCTCCATAACACTACCCAAAATATCTGAATCAATTTGATTTGTAATATCAAGTATTTCTTTTCAAAAAAAAAAAATAAAAACAAAATAATTAAAATAATGAAGACTCTTACAAGTTAAATTTATAGATAAAGATATATATATCCAACAAGACGATTAATTAATTACCTTGCATAATCACTGCAATATTTGGAATTATAGCATTTCTAACTATAAATGATTTAATGATTTAATTAATGTATTATGTATGTATGTATGTATGTATGTATACATGAAATATTATTATTTACCTGATTTGTGTTTAATAAGTATTTGTAATGCCAAACATGCTTGTACTTTAACAGGCAATTCTGGATCTTTTATACAATTAATAACACCTCCAAAAGCAGTTGACAAATTTGCTTCATTTTCAAAGTTTATTATACCAAATTTTACAACCATTTCACATGCCTTTAAAAACAACAATAATTTTAATTGTTAATGTTTAATAAATTTTAGATATAGCAATAATAATAATAATAAATAATAAATGTAAATACCCTGGCTCTTAGGAAATGATATTCTGATCGAAAGTCATTAAATACATGAGCAGCTAGAAATGACTCCATCATTTGTGAAACCCCTGAATTCTTTTTTAATATGACACTGGATAAACTTCCGACCATTTTTAAAGCTCCATCCTTTTCTCTTGGTCGTTCATTACCATTAATTAATACGTTGTTGGCAAATTCTAGCACACTTGAAAATATAAATTTTTTCCTATATTTTACTAAATCAATTAAAAAATTAGTAACAGATGTCATTGGTGAGTTGAAATCATCCAATGGATCAACCCTTTTGAAAATGTATTCAACTGGATCATCTGTCCATAATTGTTCATCTTCATCAGAAAAACATAGTTGAGGAAAAATAAATTGAGTAGCCAACGTTAAACAATATGGTTTCATTATATGCCAAGTTATTTTATTAGTCAGGCTAAAGTTTTCAAAACGTGCATATATGCATAAAAATTAATCAGCTTAATAATAATAATAAATTTTCAAGTTCAAAAATAATTAAACTTACGCGTCCTTATAGAAATCTGATATGAAATATAATATTTTATTATTTAACCAAATTTCTTTTTTAATCCATCTCTCAGTTATTTCCAAATATTTTTGCAAAACTTCTGGAGCATAATTTTTAATAAAATTCTCGGAAAATTTTAAATATTTTGACGAGGAAGATGATGGAATTTGAATTGGATTTCCAAATTTACTGAATATTCTATTCAAGGTTTGAAAACACCATCTTTTAACCCTATACCAAATAAATTTTTGTCTTTCCTCTAAATCCACCGGGATGATATCATTTGGAATATCTTTAATTGTTAAATTTATTAAAAGATTAAACCACGGTAAAAAGTTCTCATTTTCTCTTAGAATATCTGGAAAATCAAAATACACCGATGAATTATAAGTTTTAATTATAATTCTTAACATTTCAGCTGCAACAAGATTTGTTTCATTTATTAAGCCTTGAGCAATATGTATAATAATTCCAAATGTATTTTTGATAATTTCATTTAAAGGTTCTCTGTCTTCTCCTGATTTCCATCTAAACAAATTATTAATTAATTATAGTATTTTGCAATAATTCATCACAAATGTAATATAATTTTAACTTACTGATATACATTAACAACTTGTTGTAATGCTACTAATCCAACGTAAACAACTTCTGGATTATTAATCACCAAAAGTTCGCGGACTTGATTCATATAACTTGGCCATTTTAAAGGATACTCAGCTATCAAAACTTTTTTCAAACAATCAATAAGTTGTATTCTAATAATAATATTGTCTTTGTTATTATTAGAATAATTTTTTTTAAAGAGTAAAAATCTAAATTTTACCTGACAAGGTTTGGTGATATTGCCAAAATATTTAAAATATTCAACTTAAATGTTTCCTTATCTTGTGCAGCAATTGAAAAAAATGTATCATCATGACTGACATTGTTATGCCATGAATGTCTAACCATGTTCTTTAGATATATCGAGACTTTTTAAATCAAATAATAATAATATTATTATTATTAAATTATAAATGAATGTGTGTGTGTGTGTGTGTGTGTAAATACCTGCTTGTTTTGTTCCATTTTCTAAATCTTTTGAATTCAAAATTTGAAGAAGTACTGAAACAAATCCAGGTTGAAATTCTAACTAATTGTAATCACCACATCATCAATTTATCGATATAGCAATAACAATAACAATATTAATTGATAAAGATTCTTATTTTACCTGTTTAAGTTGTAATTCGGCTTGTTTTTGAATACTTCGATCTGAATGAAAAGTTGCACCAAATAATTGATAAACTGTATTAATATCCATCTTTATAAAACGATAATTAGTTTTCTAGATAAAAATAAAAATTGAATTAATAAATAAAATTCAAAAAAATTTACTTTGTGTTTGTATTTATAGCTCATCGTGTTACACACATAATTTGTTGATTATCATTTTTGCAAACATGCGGTAAAAAAAAAAGCTTTTTCAAGTAATAAGTTCTAAATAAAAATAATGGTAGTGAGAATTCGTTTGGCATGTCATGGTATCCGTAACCGACCATTTTATCATGTTGTAGTTGCAGATATTAAATCTCCGAGAGATGGTAAACATATAGAAAAAGTAGGAATTTATGATCCAATTCCAAGTCTAGACGGTATAAAAAATATTGAGTTAAACATTGAAAGAATTAAATATTGGTTGGGAGTTGGTGCACAACCTAGTGAAACTGTTGCTAGACTTTTATCAAAGGTAACAAATCTATAAGTATATAGAGGGAAAATGGAGGATAAAGTGGAGGGAAGTTAGTAAGAGATAAGAAAGTTATTCGTATATATAAAAAGTAGGGTTAAATTAAAAAAAATTTTTAATGATTTTAGGCAGGAATTATTCCTCCGATACCAAGAAAAGAAGTAAAGATAAATGACAACAAACCTTCACCAGATACATCAACTAATAATAATAATAATGGTGGTGGTGGTGGTAAAGATGATTCAATAAAAAAGAAAGAAAAATAAATTTGAATTTCATTCTTTTTTAAAAATTTAAAATTAATTAATCTTCGATTTCTTTATTTGTCAATCAATCAATTATACAATTAATTATAAAATACGATAATAATTGTAACAATTACAATAATTATAATTACAAACAAGGATACTTTGATGGCAAGCGAAAAGTTCTTTAGCTCAGCATCACATGATTTAATTGTTCCAAAACAACAATGACAATTAAAGAAGTTGAAAATGATTTTAAACCTAAACAATTAAATTTAGTAATTGAAAAAATAAGTAATAACTGTTCTAAATTTTCACTCATTGCTATAATTATTATTTAGTTCAAAATGATATTTTAATAATAATCTTATACATGCAATTGCCATTTCTAAACGTTTAATTTTGCTGCTGGTATCATCAAGTAATGATAAACTAACGCTTTAAGAAATACAGGTTTCAAACAAATTTCTAGCTTTACCAAACAATGTTAAAACTCTTGGAATAGAAAAATAGCAGATATTTAACCATAAAAACAAAACATAATGTACTGGACATAGAGAGCAAGCAACAGAATATGAGCGGCAAGAAATTTCTATTTTTACAGAAGAAAAATTCCCATTTATTAGTTATAAGAGATTTTTTAAAAATCCATATAATGAAATGATGTAAACTATGAATTAACCAACTAATCCAGATCACTAGAATCAATCAAGGTGTAGGGATAATATCGCCAGATCCATCACAATATGAAATGGCACTTTGAAATAATAAAAAGCCATGCCCAGTGTTGCCACTTCATTTTGTGCCCAATTCCTAGCATTAATAACTACATCGTTTTTATGCCCATGCATAGAGATTGGAATTATGAACATTAATTTGCATAATGCACATGATGATCTTTTATATAACCGATTTATTTAAAAGTATAAAATTTAACCTAAATAAAATAATTATTTCTTAATCATTTTCATATCCATCTAACTCATATAATTCAATTATGGTATCTGACTCATTTGATCCATTATCACTTTCTTCATCACCTTCCCTAATCTCATTATTTAAATTCCCTTCCACTTCTGATAATTCATTATCTTCATTTTCATCCTCACCTATATCAATACTACATCATTTTAAGTACATGATGTGAAACTTTGGTACGGTTTGCAGCAGCAAGCAATTTATGTGAACAATAATTACATTGAGCTCTTTCTTGTTTATAAGTGGTCTCATGGCCAAGCTTTGTAAAATAAGACCAAATTTTACTAATTCATTATTCATTGTGACATTATGCGCATTTTAAAAAATTCAGTGCGCATTATGCAATTTTGCCCATCTCTACCCATCAATGCATCTTTGAACATCTTCATAACGAAGCTTATTAAGCATCCCTTCATATTTATGAAGGATTTTATATAACATACATGCAACTCCTGTCTAAAAATCAAAATAATAATTATTTTTTACTCTTGAAATTCTATAACAAAAAGAAAAAAAAACTAACCCTTAAGGTTAGCAATGTATGAATAATATTATGGACATCATTAGGAATTGCTATATGTAAAAGAATTGAAACCTGTTCTAATAAACAATATTTGAGGATGCCTGTTTCCCTATGCATAGCATAAATTTCCAACATATCTCCTACAAAATTTAGTTGTTAACCTATGAATCTTATGTAATTAGCATAATTATTACTTACCAGCAACATTAACTGTAAAAATTGCCAGTTGCTGTCTTGTAATTGATTGGCTAAATCTTTTTCAAAGATTAGAAACATTCCTTGTGGTGTCAATAGAATCTATAGAAAATCCAGCCAACTTTTTATGATCCCATATTTGCTTAATTAAAGTTGAATTCAGCTGTCCAGTTTCTAAAAAAGAAATTTCAAGTTCCGCATTTTTTCCTAAATGAGCTAGCAAAGTATAATCTGCTCTTTGTGCAATTTTTCATAAACCTTTCCTCATAGCACTAGCTAAACTTCCTTCTTTGCCTCTTAATTTAGAATTTTCATATTATTCATGCAACAAGTCAGATGAAATAAAGTGCTTATCTAATATATATAATAAACATACCATATACCCTATGCTGATGGATACCCTGGCAAATCATCCATCACTATATTTATCAGTGGAGAAATTACTTCACATACATTAAGAGCCCTCATTAACCCATGGTTTTCCATTTTTTGCGAAAGATTTGTATTTCAGTGATCCCTAAATTTTGCCCCTAAAAAAGAAAAAAAATATAAATATTGCTTCCAATAACCCTCCATTATTTGCTCAAGTTTTTGGATTGATCTACTCACTTTCCAAATTCGATGTTTCCCATAATATCATATTCTTCAGAGTCAATCTTTTCTTCTTCAACTTTAACAAACTCCTTACACATATTAAATATCACATTATTTTGTTTTAACTTATACTTTTGAAATGGTTCTTGAAAAATATTACATAGTATTTAGGATTTAATGAGAAATTAAAAGGTATTTATTTATTAGTATTTTTTAGTGATGTTATTCTGCTAACATGAGTTAAAAATCTACATACAGATTCAGCATATCAACTTTTGCCAGTAGTTGGAAAGATTTGAGCAAATCTTTCTAGGCTTATAATTGTAAATCATATTTCCCATCCTTATTCCCATTTTGTGTAATTTTAATAACCTACACCATTAGGGTATGTATTCACAGATATCATGAATGCCATTAAGGGTTACACACTATTAAAACAGCAAAAAATCCCTTAAAAACACTTGATTTTAATAGTGTGTGACCATGTGTGATCTAAGCTTGTGGGTGAAACTCCTCCAGAAATCAATCAACAGAGTTTCAACTAAAGACTAGTGCCGTAATCCAAAAAAGGAAAAAGTATGGTTGCAAAAGTGGTCGCAAAGGTAATTGTGACCACTTTTTATATGCCGTAAATACAATTACTACCATCATCATAATTTACAGCACTAGTCTTTATAAATAACGATAATAATAAGGAAGAAGCACTTGCTAAATAAGTGTTTATCATATGAATGGTGGTTATTGCCACTCATCATCACTCTAGTTATTATTAAAATTCGATTTTCACTCACAAAATATTTACATAATTGGTACTTGGTTATAAATGTGCCTTCTTTTATATAAATATATATTTAAATATTAGGAATAATAACAAAGTAAGTAATAATCAAATTATATTTTCTTTGGATGGGTAAGATTGATAGTTTTGTTGATATTAATCCAACTTTCTAACATACAGGAAAATTATTTGGAATCTGAAGTAGTGGGCTAAAGAAAATATTGAAAAAAAAATATGGTAAAGGTCTCACAACACAAATGTTAGATTATCATTGGAGGGTACAATATTTGTGCCATTATTATTTACTGTGATATCAACTAACTTGTACCTTTTTTACCATCAAAGAAGTTGGAAAAGAATTAGGAGAGGCGAAAGAGAGATTGGAAAAGGCAGAGAGAAAGTTTGAGGAGGGGGAAAAACAGGAAAGACTAGATGAGTTGTACGGAGAATTTGGACAATGAGGGATGGAAGAATGACAAACAGAAGAAGGACTGGGAAAATAAGATAAATGAGTTAAAGAAAAAGAGAGAGAAGTTAGAGGAAACAAAGGAAAGATGGGAGGAGCAAGTTATATTTTTACAAAAGAAATTAATTGAATTTGAAGAAAAAGGTAATGAACAAATTATGTAAAAATATACAAAAAAATATTTTTCTTTGGTTATTTATTATTGCATATTTAATTAAATATGCAATCTCATTTAACCCATCCATTAAGTTAATTCATTTTTTTTTTAAAAAAATACTATATCATTACCTTATATTAATTAAATTTACTAACTTGTATATGCTCTTTCTTTTATCATGTCTCCTTCTATTCTAACAACAAATTATTGGCATCAAACTCGGGCATGCATTAGTCCAAATATAAAAGTAACCACTGGCTATATCATGTTTTTTTCGCAAGTGTCAGGGCTATACATGAAGTCGAAACTATTTTGACCATTTGCAGATCTGGTCAAAATAAGGTCGAAACTGATTTTTACTAAGTAGTTGCCTCAAGTCAAAACATTTTGACTTTGGGGTTTTAATTTCGACTTCATGTATAGTCAGGGTTATTCTTTTCTTTGACCTTTTTATTAATTATTTCAAATAGATGAGTTAACAATGCTTGTGAAAAGAAGAGATAAGATAGAATTAGAACTTCCAAACTTAGAAAATTCTAATAAACTTGAAGGTAATGCACTGGCTGTTTCTAATTTTAAAAAAAGAGAACTTGAAAAATTGCAGGAAGATCTTGAAGGTATGGTATTTTTCATGTTATTTCTTATTGAATCCAGATATTACACTATCACTAATCTAAATCACCTTGCTCAGCTTATTCCAAGAAACAAAGGACAAGCATGCTAGATATCACTAATGGTTTTGATGTTACATATGAAATGACAGATGCAAATAAACTATTCAAAAAACTTTTAGAAAATGGGAATGTGAAATTATTGGAAGTGAATTTTGGCAACAATGTGGAGAAAATTTAGAGTTACATGCAACAATATGCTGGTGTTGTTTTTTATTATATGAGGAGATTCGAGTTTTTGAGATCAAAGAATCAACTAGTGCTAAAAATTTGAGAGAGCAAATAAAGGAATGACGGGAAGATGATTATCAGCCAGCCATCAAGTCTATATTTCAAGCAGCTGTTGGTAACCAGCAAGGCATTGAATTTGAACTTGAAGATCATTCTCTACCAGCTCCACGAGAGGATCTTCAATGTTTCATTAAGGTTCAAATAGAAGTGAAAAAGAAAATTAGCACAAAGCCTCAAGGAAATTCCAGAGGATGTGGTCAACTTTGTCAATATGGTGAATATCTAACAATAATGGGACCTATCTTGGATGTTTAGCTTCTTTAGGACACTTTTACTTTGTTAAGATATTCTATGAAAATAACAATGTAAAGGATTATTATATAACAGCACCTTTTTCCTCAACAAAATTGTCATGTTTTGTTAACCTTGCTTCAGTACCAACAGATGCAGTATATTTACAAGAGATAGTTCCTTCCAAAATGCCAGATATTTTCAAAGACATGGTTAATTATATAGATCTGCTTTGTTTTTCTCATAATATATCAATAGAACAATGTCATATATCTTTCTGTGGGATTGATCAAAGTGAATTAAATTTAAAGAACATCAATTTTATTCAACAAACTAAAAAAACTTTAATTCTTGTTGCAACAATTGATCACACAATTGATCACACAATTGCTAATGGAAAAGAAGTGATTGTTAAAATTGGAAAAGTCCATTTGATTGAAAATGAATATTTGATACATAAACAAGTTGATGATCTGGACTGTGTAAGACATGCTATAGGCAAAATCACAATTGATTGTGGATCTGTAGAAATGTCTGGATTGCTGATACAACCTGCATGCCATATCCACCGATTTCTGCAACATTTTAGGGCACATTTATAAAATTTTCTAAGGGTTACTAGAATTAGAAGCTAATTTCGCCCCCTTTTTTTTGTTGCTAAATCTACATATTAAATATTAATACGTATATGCCATTATAATTCACTTCTGTTTAGATTTTTAAATTTTATTAAAATAATAATAATTGATACAAAGATCATTTAAATGTCAAAGAAAAAATCAATAATAATCAATATTCAATTCTTTTGTCAGTTTTGCATTCATTAATTATTTAGGAAATGTTGTAGTATATACAGAATATACTTCCATCTTATCTCAAATTAAAATCCCTATTTTAAATTGCAGTTTTTATTTATTTATTTTCCTAATACTATGGTGCGCGAAGCCTATAACCACCATTTTTGCACATGATTTTTGAAAGAATAGAAGTCCATTTCTGTTGATCCTTTTTAAAAAATAACTCTGTTATTGCAAGATTGAGACTCAAACTTTATCGTGACAAAGAGATTTTTTCAAAATATTGATTGGTTATCGTGTTCTATTCATTTTTAGTACATGTATTTTAATATGTTCAAGATGATTTGGCAGTAACACGATTGTCTAAATTTAGGATGATCTACGATTATCATTTCAAATTTGGTCTTGTATAGATGTAAAAAATCACCACGTCAAAAATATTTATAAAAATTATTTGTCTTAATTAAATTAATTATGCCACCAAAAAAAAGAAATTCTCAACTTAA